CTTCAATGAAATAAGTATTAAAAGCTCAGCATAACTTAACTATATCTGTTAGAAATCTATGAATCAATTTTAAATAAAAGCTTCAATGAAACTCATATTAAGAACCAAAAAAGACTGTGAAATATTCATTAGGAATTTATGAGTCAATTCGAAAGGTAAAACATAGAAAATAGAAGATGAAGATGAAAGAAGGAAAGAAGGAAGGAAGTAATCGGCAAAATACCCTAAGAAGGGGAGGAGAGAGTACAGCTCAGTATGTAAATGGAAGGCGAATACTTCGAATCTCGTGGTAAGATCGACCAATCAGGAAACGTTGGCGGGGGATGTGCCATAAATGTCGCGCGGAGGATCGCGAAAGCTTGCCGACAGGTCGGCGCCACTGTACCGACGTTCGGTATACTAGTCTACATTTTTGGCGGCAGCCGTCCAGTCTAAGGTCCGATCCCCGAACCGAACGGTCATCCGAACTACTTAGGTAAAAGCTTTTTTTCATCGATCATCCGTGAAAATTAAAATAAAAAAAAAAAAAAAGAAAAAATTAAAAAAGAAAAAAAAGAAAAAAGTTTTGGCGTTTTCGAACAACAATTGCGAGTTCCATTCGAGTTAATCAAAATAATAATAATAATTAATAATAATAGGGATATACCCCTTTTATATCGAAAAGGGTGAATTAAAAAAAAGAGAAAAACGAATTGCAAAAAAAACAAAAGAAAATATAAAAAACGAAATTAGCATCACCGCGAGTGTACTCATTTCACTGAAGGCTTACTTGGAGTTGAAGAAATGCTGAAGAAGCCAACTGAGGAGAGAGAGAGAACATATTTCCCATCGAGATATTAAACCAAGGACAATTTTAACGGGAGCTGTACTTGACCGTTTGCCTGGCCCTACTTTTATTCTGCAAAGATTTTAGTAGGAAATCATACTTCCACTAATCCTCCATATTCATAACACTATCACCTCTCAGCCGTTGATCCATCGTCTTTCGTTTTTTTCATGTCATATTATTGTTTAATTATTTTTATAAATGTGTGTATCATGAAGCTTGAAATAAATGCTAACAGATAATTAATCCTAATACGCTCTAATCACGTATGTGTAATATTTTTAATGATTAGGTGTTTTTAGAAGCAAATCAAAATTATATTGAATTTTGTGTATAATATGTATATACAATGTGTTTATAAAGTTTTAGAGCACAGTAGCCTCGAATTTGTAACACCTAATTGTTGGAAAGACATTGACTAAGCATAACTCTAATAATATATCTAATAAAATACTTCAATATATAAATCATTGGCTATTAGTGGCCAGTCTATGGACGTCATTCGATGATAAACAAAACGTCGAAAGCATCGTGTTTCACTCTCCGAATGTTTACAAATTCCAATAGTCCAATACCGGAAACGATTTCCATTTATACCTAGATTGTAAATTAACCTGATCAGGTTCGCAAAAGATGAATAGTCATCCTGAAATGAAAATGTATCACTTACGTCACATAAAGATACACTTGTATCCGATAAAGATCGTATATAATCGATTATAGTTATGATACTTTTTCTTCTACTACTTCTTCTAATAGATTGTTTATAATAATTGGCAAGGCTTTGTTTAACTTCTTACATAATGCAAGACTGCGTATTTATAACGTCGGATAAGAATAGAATTTAGGCGGACTGAGTGACGCCAAATCCAAGGCGTCTTTTATAGCCCCTTCTGTGTTTCTTCTACCAAAATGTAAAATCATTTTTAATTATATTATCAATCAATTTAATTATTTAATTATCCCATGTGAACTCGATCTACGCAAGAGAAAAAATTAAATTATTATAAGAGAAGCTAATCTCTTCTGTCGATTAGATTCATTCATAAAATTCCTGAAACGTTAGGCATGTAACATACTTCGCATAATCGTCGAGACTTTGTCAAATGTTATGCAAGTTGGCTAGAGTCTTCCTAGCCAAACATTTTGGGCCAAGAACTTTGGTAAGCTAGTATGTACAAGTAAGGTGTGTCGATTCAGCCTGACAATCGTTGGATTAGGCACGTGCTTACGACTTCGTACGAGAGATGCCAAAACTTTAGATTATGCGATTCTTTCAAACGTATCACGTTCCTTCCGTAAATGACGCAATGACGCATCAAACGGGAACGCAATATTTTCATATTTTCGGTACTTTAATACTAAAAAGTAAGATATATCAAAAGATATTTCAGTTTTCTAGAAGCTATGCCCTAGATGATTCGCTTTAGGTATATTTTTAGAAGTCATCTAAATTACATCTTTATTTTCGTAGAATATCGCCAAATAGGATGATGAATCTATACAAATATTTTGTGGATTAATGTTTTTCTACTTAAATTCTTTCTAATAGAACACTTGGTATATATTTATCTTCTTTCCGGCATGTTTAAAGGAGCCATTTTGAATTTCAATGACTTTAACTTAATTGAATATCTTGATGATTTCTTAAATATTATTTTGAAAAAAAAGTTCATGAATTCTAAAATAATTAGAATAAAATTATAACAATACAGATGATTATCGATGAAATATTTAAACAAGTCTCTTATTATTATTGAAATTAGCCAATAAGAATTCGTGAAAATCGGTCAAAGTCAGTCGAAGATACGTCGAGTATACTACTTACTCCTCCCCGGATTCTTACTTCCACCTGTTTTCAACTAAAAACGGACTGGGGCCCGGGCAGACTAAATATAACGACTACGACGAATGAATCCAGGACTCTTGCGTCACAACTCGTTGTTCGTAGGCGCGAGCTTTTCGCCATTGGATTACTAAAGATCGTTTCACACTTTTATTTTATCTCTATAAAAGAATTTAGTATAATGTGACATGGGAGAAAGAAAGAGAGAGATAGAGAAGTTTATCGATAATATGAAGAAAAAAACAACAATTCCTTCATATGTATAAAGGATTAGCGAAGGGTTAGAAACGTTTACCTTCACCTTCTTTGTTGGATTAGATTGATATTCAATTTATTATTAGGTTATATCTTTTTAATTGTCTATCCTATTCAACATCTTTCAAAAAAATCCGACTGCCTGTTAGAACTTTACCAGGTAGTGCCACCTGTGAGATTATCCTATAACTATTTAAAACGACAACATTATAATGTAGGAAAAGTAGAAAACGTTATCGATAATTATTATCGATAAAGTCACTAATTATTTTTTTTTTAATTACTAAATAATAAACACACGTGCACACATAAACACACATACACATATATATATATATATATGAATACAAATTAAAGAATTAGAATTAATAGTTAACTAGTAAGCGCTATGGAAAAATGCAAAAAAAGAAATATAATGTGAAAGTTGCAGGAAATGATACGGTTATAAGTGAAATCAAAGATATCTAATAAGATCGAATTTTGAAAGGCTAAATTTTACTTTCCTCGTCATCGTCTATAATACTTTTTCCCACCTTAAAATACGCGCATATAGTTGAAAGCGTGCAAACGATCGAGGCCGAGTATGAAGCTAGTCTCGCTAAAATTAGCAAGAGAGGAACGTTGCGTCAACAAAAAGAAAAGACGATGCTACTGTTTGTGTCGCTTGCTTTGATTGGCCAATCCAAAGAACGCGACTGCCAATCGGAACGAGACTTATAAAAAAAGCAAACTAATAAATTTTGATTTATCGAAGCAAATGCAAATAAATATTTTTTGTTTATTTTATTTTTTTCTATTAATATAACTAATTAAAGTGAACAATGATTTATCAAAATTGTCTCTTTTGATATTTTATTTAATACAAGTTTGCGCTTTGATCTGTCTTGATAAGTTTTTTAAGAAAATTTTCTTTATTTTCTTCGGAAAATCCCCAACATGCATTACATTAGTTTCAATTTAACTCGTGACAGAAATAAATAAGAGAAAAGAGGCAGAGTTTCAATTTAATAAACGAAAGAACGTGTCGATCGGATTACTATATCACCCGCACCTATAATGTCTAGAGAAAGGGAAGACATCTTTAGCGTGGCAAGGTTAAAGAAACATATGCTTCGGACTAGTGAAGGCGGATTTAAATTTAGCTTATGCTTATGCAATATATATATATATACATAGAGAGAGAGGGAGAGAGAGAGAGAAAGAAAGAGAGAAAGAGAGAGAGAGTTTAAATAGGAAAATTATGGAGGTTACGTAGGGTATTAAAAAATTCGGCCACCTCGCAGGCATTCCTAAGTTTTTCTCTTTTTTTTTTTTCATCCATTTTGATATCATTTCTATTGGTAGAAAAACAATTTACATGATTATTTAAAAAAATTCCGCGAATATAATGACATAAATAATTATACATTCTTAAATTAAATTCAAACTTCATACTTTTTTGTTCATATTAGCGAACGAGCGTGGTTAGCGACCGAATAAAGCGGCAAAATGGATGCGCGATTCAGGAGCAATCTCGACATGATCGGGCGCAACGAGCCAATCACGAGAAAAGCGAAATTCTGGCAAAGTTACGTTCGGGCTCTGAAAGGTAAAAAGAAAAGTCTATTAGCTAATCTAATTTTTTCTTCTTTCGCATACTAATCCAAATATTTGATTTTCTTTTGTCTTATATTATATAGGTACCGACGATATCAGAGCTCCGGAACATACCCACAGACCACGCAGTATTTTCCGCACCGATTATCCCGAGTTGCATACCACCTCACCCACTTGGCCATTTGGAAAATCGATTTTTGAAAATCCTATTCATGCGGCTGATCGTATCAACACCCCTGGATACAGGTATGTATTATATAATGTTAATAAAAACATTTCAGTTTTACCATATTGATTGAGTAAAAAGAATGTAGGTAACGTCTATAAGTGTGTACATACTTTGTTGATAAAATCGATTTTCTACTTTATCGGGAATCGATAAAATAAAAAGAATGTAAAAAATGTCGGTAACTATGTATATACTTTATCGATAAAATCATTTCTCACTTTGTTTCATCGAAATAATACATATAGAGGGAAAAAAAAAAATCACAAATGTTTTATAAATTTTCTCAAAAATTTTCGCGGAAAAAGGAAAAGAAAAAAAAAGCGATGTGGGTCGACATATTTCTGTTAAGGTATATGCCCGTTCACCGTGAGATCTACGGTTACACGCCAAGGCAAATCTACCCTCATCAGTACAAACCTGTAGAACGCTTCACCCCTGGTACGTACTAAAGAATTCTGAGAAAAAAAGTCCAAAAAAAGAGAATGAACGACGTCGAAAAGAATTCGAAGCGCGAAATGAAATGATATATACATATATATATATATATATATATATATATATATATATATATATATATATATATATGTATATATATATATATTTCTCTTATGTTGTATATATACACATAATCATTTATATTACGTATAAATGATGAACTCGAAAGAAGAGAATAACCAACGATAAAAAAAAAAAGGAAACGCGATAGATAAATCAACTGCGAAGATTCGTTTTGAAACGATTATTCGACAGATTATATAATATATAAGAATGATCACAAAGAAATGTAATCGCGAATTCTCGATTACTTTTGGCTTTCTATGTTATACATTCTTCCATAATAATTAAAGAATCATTCAATTAGAAGCCAAAAGTATCGATAAGATTTAGAGAAATCTCGAAAAGATAGATGAATCATCATCGCATGCATAAGTCAACCCATCTCTCTCGACGTATCAACAATGCTTCGACATTTCAACGTATTAAAAAAAATAAAAAAATAAAAAAATAAAAATTAAAACCAAAAAGAAAAAAAAACACAAAAAACAAACTCAATACGAACAAAAAAGAGCAACTACATTTATGTCTTTTGTTAATACTTCGTATTTCCACGTGGAAAAGAAATTAACTGTAAAAAAAAACCGCATATTTATTAATAATCGTCTTTTACCATCACATATCTCGTATACCATACGTATAATTCACTAATTATCTTATTTGTACCTAAGTATATAAAAATAATATATAAATCTCGTACCATATATGTGTTACATATGTATGTGTTTAGAGTGTTGCATATGCATGAGTGTACACGACATAAGATCGTCGTCCTTTATGTGTATACACTTTGTAAAAAGTACATACATATATCAATTGTTTAAAGTATGAGTCTCGTTTGTCATCGCGACGATTCGTGTCCCTTCGTCATCCCACCGAAGATATGATGCATGAGGATCAAGATTGAGAAATAAAAAAGGGACTGTCACAAGAAAAGTGAAAGAAAATTCAACAAAATCATATGTCAGTAGATCATCTTCCATCAGAACATCATCCATCTGTGTATTGTGCTATCGCTAAAAAGTAAGATAGAGAAAAAGATAGAGAGATAGATATATGCTTATATATATTTAAAGAGAGAGAGAGAGAGAGAGAGAGAGAGAGAATGAGAGAAATAGAAAGAGTAAGAGAAAGAATAAATTACAGAAAAGAAAGCATTCTCTCTGATTTTACTTTCTTTCCAGGATCTAGACCAAACAAGTGGCACTTACTGAATTGCATCAACGATTTGAGTGATCTTAGGCGTCAGCAAATCTCTCGAAAATGGGAGAGAAGGGCAGAAATAGCGATTATTTATCGAGCACAATGCCATCGTCATTATAATAGAAATACACTCGCGAACAATTAACCACCACGTTATGATTTGTTAATGTATTTATTTATTTATTATTTTTTGTTCGTTTTTTATTGTCTTCTGTACCATATTTAGGCAATGCTCTACGTAATGTTTCTATGTTCTATTCATCGAGAATAACTTACCGATAATTAATTAATTGATTAATTGATTGATTAGAAAAATAGAAAAGTTTTCTTTGGGAGAGAATTTTTCGAGATATATATTTTTTGTATATTTATGTATATTCAAAGTAAATTGTTAACTATTGCAGCCGAGGTGGAAGTCTTCGCTTAAATGTCTTATGACGTGCGTCGTAATCTCTCTAGGATGTATAAACGATTAGTACGAGAGGAAGATACAAATAAAAAGAAAAAAAGAAAAGAAAAAAAAAAGAAAATAGAAATGAAGAAAAACAGATGGACGATGGACGCACGGAAATGAAAAAAAAAGAGCCAAAATCAAATCGAAGCTCGGAAACGAATGATTTTTCGAGCGAAGGGAATGCGATAGTCGCGAATCCAACAAAAAAGAAGAGATTTACACGATCTGCGGAGATATTTATTTAATTTAATAAATGAACAATCAATAGAAAAGCCATACTTGAAAAAGCTGGAAATTTCAGCTGAGAATATTATTATAATCGTTTGCTTCTCGTCCGATTCTTTCTTTTATTAGTGATTGACTATATTTGTTTTTTAACCCTCTATAAATTCTTTTTATGTTTATATTTTAAAAACTAATTATTATATAATATATAACTCTCTTATATATAATATATTAAATATAATTTTTATATGGTATAAAAATAGTTTAAAAAAAAATAATATAAATTATACTTACTATATATATTATTTATATTAATTATATATATTTAGTATGAATAGAATTACCTTCTGGTAATACAGACAAACTAAATGACGTCGATAAGCGTAGAAATTTTTTATCGATAAAATCAATTTTTTACTTTATCGAGAATTGAGATAGTAAAAAAAAATACAAAAAACAGTCGATAATTGTGCACATACTTTATTGGTAAAATCACTTTTCTATCTTTCCTATAAGTACTGAATATAATTTATATTAATTTTTTGATATAAATCAATAATGAATTCTTAATAGAAATAGTACTATTATAGAGGGTTAATAGTTTTTCCTTTTGTATTCTTATTATATTTGTATTCTATTGTTATTAATTTTTAGATTGAATTGTACGACGAGAGAAAATTCAAAACGCGTTTAGAAAAAAAGGAAAAAGAAAAAATGGAAACGTCAATTGCATATTCTCATTTAATACTTTGCTCTAATCGGTAACGATAATAATAATACATGCACGCGTATAAAACGGTTATGTTTACTAACAAACGGCAAATTAACGAACTTAATTAATTCATTGATCAATTGGAAGCAAAAATTTCTGTCTTTTTCAGGAAACGGCATGTACTTTCTTTCCATTTTACCTATTCTCTCGATGCCCCATTTATATATATAATCCAAAAATACCTAGTATGATCTCCTATTTTTTATTTTTGTTATATCTCCTCATAAAAAAAATTGTTGCAAAATAATTAACTACTGCTATCGGCGACAATCATAATCGATAAGATAGATAAAAAAAATATTTTCATACACTTAAACACCTCACATTAACACTTACATGAATTATAATTCATTTTCAAACATTCTAAGCAGTCATGAGCAATAATATTATAATTATTATTTATAAATTATTACAAAATTGAGATTTAGATTCTATAAAAGCTTACAAAAGATTGCTCATGTCTTACTACATTTGATTATTTTATAGTAACGTACTATAAAATAAAAAAAGAAAGCCTAACGAAATAGATACAGATTACTGATTTTATTATAATAACGCTTAGACACATACTTTAAAAACGTACACGTAAAATACAAAAAATGATGCAATTATTTTTTTAAAAAGGAAAAAAAATATATAAACATTTCGTTCGACGCAACTCACTCACCCAAAATTTGAGATTTAAATTCGATAATCTTTTTTTTCACGAACGCAACGTAGCGAATGATTTTTGAAAAAACGTTATTTTTTTGGATACGTGACCATCACCGCTTTTTTCTCGTCACCTCTCAATCAGAGGACGACGTTTTTTTGAAGCAGCTTTTTTCCACCAGGTTAGTATGCTTTTTTCACCTTACGTGACGTATTTTTAGCGAGAAACGCTCACACTTTTTACTCTGATCAAATCATTGATCAGAATTATAAAAAGCTAGTTTATAGGCACGGCTTATAAGATTTTTTTCTAACGCTACGTCAAAATTTAACTAAGCACGTTTATACAACACACTATTAACCTTTATATACTATTGGACTAAATAATAAATAATACATATCGAATTTTTTTAAGATTCTTTTTTGTGAGAAATTTTGATATTTCTCAATATTTTCTTTTTACGGAAAATTTCTATAATTTATCATTTATTTATTAAAAAATTTCTATTAGATTCGATAAATTCGAATATCTCTATTCAAATTTGAAATAAAATTAAAATCAGAATATATAATTAAAAAATCTTTACATTACTTATTGATAAGTTTCTAATAAATTTCAAGTTAGGTCGCGAGAAGGTGCCAAAAAATTTGTTGCTGCATGATTTTTCTTTTTAACTATTGTAGAACACCTTTTTGCAAATTGTTAGAATCACAGCTTTATATAATTAACTTGATTAAGCGCATCGGCATGTTAAATTGCACGCAAAAGCCTACGATGCTTCATCGTTCGTAACTTTTTACCGATCGTGAGAGAAACGATTTTGGAAATGCATAAATAAATAAATAATAAAAATGCATTAAAAAATATATTTTCAAAAGATCGGTATATGTATAAAAAAAAAAAAAAAAAGAAAAAAAGATATACGAAATATATCGTTGGAGTGAAAAAGAAGCGCCGAAACGCTTATTCGATAGTGTTAAACTTATTAAATTTATTGAAAACTTCTGTCCCCGTATTTTTTTATTTATGTAAAGATAATTTTGAATAATAAAAAAATAATAATAAATGTTTTACACTTAAAAGTAATACTTATATTCTCTCTCTCTCTCTCTCTCTCTGAAAATGGGACAAAACTTTTCGATAGATCTAATATTATAATACGTAATAAGTGAAAATAAAGCATCAAATATAAATGTTAATATTTAATAAAACAAAGTCACACTAATGACTTTTCTTCATCGTTAAAACGAAAGAAGCATAAAAATTCTTTTCTACAATTTTGGCGTCAGTAGTTTTTAGTGTTGCTATGTGAGAATTGGTGTTTTCTTACTAGGAATGTTAATTCGAATTATATAGTTCTCAATGTAGGTCTATTAAAATATCAGGAAAAATATCTAATTCAGAAAATGAAAGATTAACGAATTAGATATTTTTGCGTATAATCGAAAGGAGTTCAAAATAATTCAATAATGTATATATATCCGATATATACTCCTTTTCATCGAAATAGACCTACTTAATAGATCAAATAAAGACAAGCAATTCGAAGATTGAAGAAAAAAAAAGAAAAAAAAAAAAGAATATTATAATTCACAGTTTGGATAATTTTATAAAAAAATTTCAAATTGTTTGTCATCAGACAAATCGATCGATCGTGTTTTAACACCTGGATAAACTTGTCCCTGAAGTAACATGACTATAAATAATATGAATTAAGATTGTCCAGCTGTTAACACGAAATAATAATTGCATTTGATATTCACATACACAAATATAAAAATCTCAATACACAGCGAAACCATTTGATGCCGACAAGGCTTGGACTGATCATCTGAATCGTTTGGCTGACATCGACAGACTTTACCCGAGCAGGTCGCCATTGCTTGCTCGACACATAAGTCCACCTCTCACCACGAAGAAACTCTTTGATATTCATGGTAATATATAACATAATTTTTCATAACGATCAAATTAAATTACTACAAAGTATTATTTATTATACCTACGTATGCTTTTATTTTTTTTCAGGTAACTTGTTAACCGACGATATCTTCCCGACCTACTCATCATTACTTCGCAGGAAACCTCTTTTCGATTTGCTCGAACCATCTCCAACAGCTCCGATCAGTGCCTTCACGAGAGATCCTTGGTGGTATCCTAGCTTTGCTCCTTATATTCCAAGCTATGCTCAATACAGTACTCCGTTTTACCTGAGGGACAGCTATCTTAGTCCAATTAAACGTAGCTTCTTATGGAGCCGACATCCTATCAGACCACTTGGTATGTTTATATTTTATATATTTTCATCGCCAACTTTACACATTTTTTTTTTTCTTTTTCTTCCTTTCTTTCATTCTTTTTCTATCTTTTTCTATCTTTTTCTATCTTTTTCTATTTTCTTTATCTAATACACCTGCATTTTAATAGAAGACTCTTTTCTATATTTATTTTTGATCATAATTATAAGTGTTGCATATTTTGTATTCGACGAATCGCATTATCGATGTTGACATCATTTTTGACACACATCGAATATAATCATTCTAAGAAAAAATGATGGTTTTTTATAATATTCGTGTAAAGTTTTTTTTTTTTCGTAAGTATATATACCCCTGCTTCGTGTGGCAAGATATTAAAAGAAATTAGATTGGTGTGTTAATCACATTTGAAGGATTTATATTCTACAACCAAACAATATATCTGTCATTTCAGGAGCATTATACTACTATTATTCGCAGCCAGTTCCAGTATATCACTTTACCAGCCCGTGGTACAATAAACATTAAGAACAAATAAGAAAAAAGAAAAGAAAAACAAAACAAAACAAATGTGAGCGATCAAACGAAAATGACCACAAAGTGTTTTAATCTATTACCATTTTATTCCCAAGTTTTGTCCGTGCGTGTTTTAATTAAACTGAAATTATTACTTTCAAAAAAAAAAAAAAAATAAAAAAAGACAAACAGGAAATCATTAATTATAATGACGATGATGACGATAAAATAATAGTTATACAAATCTAAACTTGCTAACTAAAATACATATAATAATAATTAAAATACACATATCAAACTGCTCTGATCACTCATGTCGATTAATAATCGAGATATATCGATTAATAAGTTAACAGAGTATTTTCATTCGATCATTATATTTATGTTCGTGAAATAATATCAACAATATGGAAGTGTTTGTAAGAGTCTGATTGTTTTTTATGTTATTATTACTCCTAACAGATACATTAAGAGGTCATATTTTTGTTTTATTTTCCTCATATATTTTTTCAAACATAAATTTTCATTCGACTATATCCAACTAATTTTCTTTCATTTCATTCGGACTAAACATGGTTGTAAATTGCCTACAGGAAATTAATGTAATTTGAGTTCTTTTTTTTAATCCTTAAAAGTTATTTTTAAAAATAATTATGTTCATTTTGTCATAAAAGTGAAATTTCGGTACGATATAAATACATATTTATTTTTGATTTTAAAAATTGATAAGATCTAAAAAATTTTAATTACGTTTTTTTTATTATTTGATTAATCTTATTTATCACCTAATATTTTGCGACAATTCTCAAATATTTTATCTAATATTTTTATAATACAGTTAATCTATAATATTTCGCATATATATATATATATATATATACACACACACGCACACACACACGAAAGCAAACAAAAATATATAAAAGTAACTTCATTGATGTTCATTAATGCATCCAGAAAATTTTTAAGGATTAAAAGAAGAATTAAAATAACATTCCTTTATGACATTCTATTTCTAAAAACTAAATACAAGTGTGATTTCTTAAGAAAAAAGATACAATAAAAAAGAAAAATAAGAAAAGGGAGAAGGGTCAACAAACAACCTTCACCAATCATCGCGAATTTCTACGTATCGCGATCTCAACATTGTCTCACCCTCTTGTGTCTTTTGTTTCTATATATTTATTGTTTTTCTTATATATGTATATTTTATTTTCTTTTACTTTATTTTCTTTTACTTTTAATCATTTCTATTTCTAATAATATTTATTATATGTGCATACTCTTTTCTTTTAGCTCACGTCTACTGATAAACTCTCTACGTACAACATATATGTCGCCCCCGCATGGAACGCGTGAATCGAATCTCTCGACGATCGAAGAAAGAAAGTGACGTATGCAAAGTGAAAGTGAAAAGATTATGAAAATTAAAGGAAAAAACAAAAAAACAAAAAAACAAAAATAACAACAACAATATCAAGAAGGAAAAAGGAAGTACGCTTACGTCTCTGGTATCCTAAAAAAGAAAAAGAAAAAAAAAATAAAATAAAATAACAGAAGATTCTGTATATCTCTCTTCTTAGCCAGTGAAAACAAAACAAACAAAAATATGATTAAAACTTGAAAGCATGAGAATTTTATTTATTTATTAATATTCTCTCGAAACGCGATTTACATACATACATTGTATTCCACGTTCGTGCTGTCCGAGAATAAAATAACAATAAACACTGCCAGAAACTTATTGGAAAAATTCAAGCAGAAAAAAAATTTTGTCTAAACATACGTCTAAATTAAAAATGACCCTTTATAAAATTAGGTGAATAAAATGTTACAGAGAGAAGATGTGTACAACAATATGCACGTTTATTATTTGAAAGTTTTACATCTTCAGGATGTTTTATATTACTCATAGGGCTATATCTCTATCGAGATTCGATCGATGGTTATCTCTCTCTCTCTCTCTCTCTCTCTCTCTCTCTCTCTCTCTCTCTCTCTCTCTCTCTCTCTCTCTCTCGCTCTCTCTCTCCCTCTCTTTTCATTATTTATTTATTTATTTATCTCTTCATTAATCCAATTTTTTACAAATACTTTTAATTTATCCTCTTTTTGTTATTTCTTATCCTTCTCCTTACACTACACAAAATGATTCCATCGACGAATCACGATTGGCTTAACCATTTACAAATATAATATATATTTTATATATATATATATATATATATATATATATATATATATATATATATATGAATCTTGGACGAAAAATGCATATCGAGGGGAATCACAACCACTCCATTATTAATCATTCATCAAAAAAGAGAGAGAAAGGGAGAAGACCAAAGGTCTTGTTTCTTTTTTCAACCAATCAACGACAACAACTACGACAACAAATGGTTTTTTTTTTTTTCTTTTCTTTTTTTTTTCTTTTTTTTTTTTTTTTTCTTGATAAAAGCCTTTTAAAACATTGTCGTCATAGTTGTCATCGTCGTGTCATTATGTTTTCACACTCATGGTTACTTGATCTCCACGAGCATACGAGCATATGACTGATGCATATCGGAGGAAGTAAAAAGAATATATGTAAGCGAGGGAAGAAAATATCTGACAAGTTTTATATTTCAGCCGGTAACTATGAAAGTGATTTCATAAGCAATATTTTCAAATATTTATCTTTGAATTATTTCAAAATTATTTTTCTATAACGAAAAAGAAAACAGAAAAAGTAAGTATATATTTATTTTTGAATATAAATATAATTCTTTTACGTTATTTTACAATGTTGACCTATTAACTGTGTCAGTTTATTTTAATAATGTATATTTTTGTATAACAATAATTAAAAGAACAAATATATCCAAACGCAGAATATTTTAGAGACGACATAAAAAGAAAAAAAAGAAAAAAAAAAAATAAAAAGAAATTAACAAGACATATCACAGTATAGACAGATTGTTTACATAGGTGTGTTCGTCTGTTTGTCTGTCTATGTGACATATCTAAATAAAAATTGAACGGCTGAAAGACTTTGAGAAGAAATACATACATACATTATGTCATAATGCAAAAAATTCATGATGAATATATTTGTGAAACACAGTTAACAAGTTAACAATATAGCGTATTGTGACATAAAATATGTTTTTTAATATCTCAAATGGAACTTGGATCACTTTCATAATCACTGAATCATACATACACACATACACACACATATGCGTGCGACTGTACTATGTGTGCTATGCTTCTCTTCAAGTATTACCATTTTGTTTACTTCCTTTTTCTTCTTTTCACTCTCGAGTGACCACGCTTCATAGATCAAGTAACTAATTCAAAATGTCAGTATATTTATATTTACTCCGTAACAAGCGCTATAATAAAAAAAAGAAAAATAATATAGGCAGCGGTATATGTTATACCAAGATTAGAAATGCAACTTAAAAAAGGCTATTTGTTTCTCTATAATTTAATAATAATGTTTAATAATAATAATAATAATAATAATAATAATAATAATAATAATAATAATAATAATAATAATAATAATACAAATAATAGTAGCGGTAAAATAGTGTGGCATTCTAATAATATAATAATTCATTATATTGATTTAAAATAATTAATTAATTAATTATATTTATTAATTAATTAAATAATAATAATAATAATAATAATAATAATAATGGAAGGAATCATGTGTAAAAAGTAGTAACGTCGTGTAGTAACGAGTGTGGCTTCGTTATCGATCGTTCATTTTATTTATACAACATGGCAACTTAGAAATGCGAAGGAATCAAAAGTTACGTGGTTCTGATATTATTATATTGTTTTTTCATGTTATTTTATTTCTTTTATGAAAAAGATAAGTATATGCATTCAAAGATTTTTAATTTCTTTTTGTTTAATTCGAAAACAAAATTAAACGACGAATTATTATTTTTTATATAAATATTGCCAATTGTGTATGAGAATGAATATCGAGGACCTCGTTTATATTTCTTGTATTTATTTATTTATTTATTTATTTATTTATTTATCCATTTAATTTGTATCATTTTATTTAATCATGGAAAAAGCTTATTAACTTTCCATATTTAAACTTTATCCTCTATTTTAATCCCCCATTTTTTCACGTACATATCTTTGCAATGAAAAACATCATTCGTAATTATTAGTACGGTTTCTTTTCTGTTCCATCAGAAATGGTTCTATTTTTCTCATCTCTTTTTCTTTATATACTCTTCCAATTCATTAGATTAAAAAATATAAATAATATATATATATATGTATATGTATATATATTTTTGAACATACCTTTCAGTATGTATATAATCAATATTATCGTAGAGATTGCTAAAATTAAAATCAATTTTTCAAATGCAATATTTAAAAAGAAAAATTGGAAGGAAAATAGAAAGAGAGAAATAAAAAATGAAGAACATAATAGCTACTAAAACCTCTAACTATGTACATTTGCAGCATTCTATGTTACGTAATCAACTGCAATGCTTATAATGAGAATAACAATTATAATGATAATGAGATGATTATGATTGTAATGATGGTAATAATGATGATGATGATGATAATAACGATGACGATGACGATGACGATGACGATGATAACGTTGGACGACGAACAATGATAACAATAAATAAAATTAGTAGTAGTAATTAATTAATCGAAAAATCTCTAAATAACGCGGACATTAATCAATCTCGATATCTCTTGAACTTATACAAGCATGGAAGAAATAAATACTTAAACGAATGTTCCGAACCATTAATACTCGACAAAAATTACTACAGCGGTTACAAAATTACACAGAGATCGTTAACACAATTTATTTGCAATAACTTTAAATATATATTTATAAAAAAAATAAAAAATAAATATATATATATATATATATTTAAAAAAATATTTAATATATCATTTTATAATGTATTATAATTGGAAAATAACGTAGGAGAAATTCTCCAATAAATTAATTGAAAACAAACAACAAAGTTATTGCAATAAAGTTGATCTGTCTCTTATATTTCTCTGCGTCATTATATCTTGGACTATCTTCAGTATGGAAAAATGCAAGTTATTTTCATAGAACGTAGGCGTCGAGTCTCGCCTAGTTCGATGAAAAAAAAAATAGGGGGGAAAAAGAAATAATCGTATCGTTTGTGAATTAGTTACACCGCTTATCTCGTTAAGATGCAATCAACATAAAAAGTAAGAGTAATCTTACGCACACTTTATCTTTTATATTAACGGATTAGGATAGATTAGATCGAGCTCGACGTCTTCATGCTGAAAAACGTGAAAATAAGTCCTTACAAGTTTCTGCGATTAAAATTATCGTCCCGTCGGATCTGTACGACCTTTTTTCGTAAATAGACAAACCTTACCTTTCAGCACTGTCAATAAAGAGAATACTAATTGTTCGTTCGGATCAGAAGGCTGTCATTTCTTTTTCGCAGGATTTCTTTGTGGTGTAGATGGTCTGCCTGCTTGGCCGGTATTCATACCACCGTATTGATACTTTGCTTTCTTCTCTGAAGGTTTCAAGATCTACATATGAAAAGAAAATTACAGATTTTAAATTTTCGTACATATAAATGTGATGGTTGCTTTTTTCTTTTTCTTTTTCTTTTTCTTTTTTAATAAATGATCATTACCTGGAAACTGCACATCAAAGTTTCGTCAACGCTCATCATGCCACCAGCATTGTCGAACTCTCCACAATAATTAGGAGCAGAAAAGAGGGTGACTAATTGTCTCTTAGCAAAGAACTCGTAACCATCTTCGACAACTTGATGAGCTCTACATATTAAATCCATGTCGTGTCGATTTAAGAACTTGGACACGACGTCTGGACCGAAGGTGAATGATACACCTCTATCGTTTTCACCCCAACCCTGAACAAGTATAATTCAAGGATACAAAAAGTTTGTTTTACTCTTAAAAAAAGAAAAAAAAAAACATTAGAAATTCGATTCAATTAGATTTACTTTACCTGAACGTCTTTATCAGGATCAGACCAAAGTAGATCACAAAGAAGACCAGTATCAGGTACGTCGGTGGGTCTCATGATCCTTTTGATTTGCTCCATACTCTACAAAATTCAAATATAAAGATAAAATCCAATATTATAGAATTAAATAAAGTAAAAATTTATTTTTCAAATAAAAATTTAAAAATAAGATCACCTGAAGATCCGGACTGAGGCCACCATGACAACAGAAGATCTTTTCATCGATAATTGCAGCTATTGGTAGACAATTAAAGCAATCGGTAAATGTCTTCCAAAGCTTTATGTTATACCTCCTTTTGCATTCATCATAAAATCCATATATCCTATTTATGCTAGCACATTCGTGATTCCCGCGCAGCAGGAAGAAATTCTCTGGATATTTGATTTTATAGGCTAGCAAAAGACATATGGTTTCGAGCGATTGCTTTCCACGATCAACGTAATCACCGAGGAACAGGTAGTTAGCCTCAGGTGGGAAACCACCGTACTCGAAGAGCCGTAATAAATCCGTATATTGACCATGAATATCACCGCAAATTTTAAGAGGTGCTTCCAATTCCAATAATATCGGTTGTTGAAGGAAAATCTCACGGGACTTCAAACAAAGTCCACGTACTTCTCCCTCCGACATCGTCACTGTCTTCCCCGGTCTGCATCCTCTTACTGTGCTCACATAAATTTCAATAAATTATTCTAACGATATTATTAATTAATTATTCTCTATTTCAATTAGCCTACGACCAATAGCAGCATTACGATATTAACAGCATCGAGCATACTCTATATTTAATGCATATTTGTTTCTTTCTTCCCCCCTTGTGGGTTGGGGATAGAATATAACCATAGTATACCCAGCTGATCATAAAAGACCATTAATAGGGGTTGAGTGTTGGGGTTGACAATTTAACCTTATAAAAATCCCCTTATTACAGAAACTTCAAAAAGAAAAGTCAGATTCATTAAGTGCAAATAAGAATTTCTAAAGGAGAGTGAAACCTATCCTGGATTATAAATGCCAATGGATGGATAGATGGATATTTTTTTTTCTTAATTTAAATAAATTGTCAATATATATTTTTCCTATATATACTTTTTTTCATTATAACTCATTTATTTATCATACAAACGTATCTTCCTAGGAGATTATAAATTATATAGTAGCAGAGAACATACTCTCTACCTACTTCATTTATATATTATACTTTCTATTTTAGAAAAATCGTCAATATTACTTCTATATACTCTTTTCATCTAATTCATTTATATTAAAATTAGCGTATGATCTATCTCCCTGGGAAATAAATGAATTATATAGCACAGCATAGAGCATACTTTCTACATAGAACGTATAGACCTTTATTTATCTTAGAACAATCATCAATATTCCTCCCATATACTCTGTTCACCTAACTCATTTATATTGAAATAATCGTAGAACCTATCTCTCCTATGAAACAACAAATTTGAATTATAAAGGTTACTCCATTAAGATTGTGTTATGTACACACACACACATATACACACACACACACATACACACACATACACACGAACGCACGCATGCAGGCACGCACGTATATAAAAGCAACGATTGAGAGAATCTATTATCATCGTCCACCTACGACAATAACGATATGCATTCTAGAAGGAAGAACGAGTTTTATATATTCTGTCCATGTTAACAAAAATTTTATTCAAACGCGACGTACGTGCGTTCGAGTTATAACGTATAAGCGAATAAATGACCTTGCTTAACTAAAAATATGGAACATAGAAAGAGAAAGAGAGGAGAGAAGTAAACGTTTCGCGTATATACATACACATATGATAATAAAGAGTCATTATGTAAAAAGCTAACATAACAGCGATCTCCTCGTGACAGGTAAAGATGCAAAAGAACGCGTAACGATCGATGATGCTCGTCCACGCGAACGATACTTTAACGTATATTTCGCGCCTTGTGGAACAACGATATGATGGGGAATGGGGATGAGGGAAAGTCAAGCTTGTATATATCGCAGCAAACGTGTTACGACGCTTTTAGATCATTTTCTTCTACAACGATCCTCTAATTCTTATCAACGTTTCTTATTACGAACATGATGTCATTTCTAACGTTATTCTAATTATCATTATTATCACTGCGTATTTCTTCATTTTACCGCGCTCGATGTATTTATAGACGTAAAAGAACTTTTATGACGAGCAGGACTCAAAATCCATCGTGAATGGTATTGAAAAACAGCTTATCGTTCAAATATGCACATTCAAGTAAATAAGAATGAAATCTTGAAGAATTCATTTCTTTGATTAATTTTTTCTACATTTATTAATTTGATTTCTTGTTTTGAAAGAACGAGGTTATAACAAAAGTATTTAAAAAAAAAAAAAAAAAAAAAGAAACGTGAAAATCGAATGTATGTTCATGTAGAGCGACTAAAAAGAAGTTAAGGAAAGTTCCAACCTTGTGATATTTTGGAATAAAAAGATTTCTTAGAATTATGATTATGATTGGCATCGTTTATTATCGACAATAAGAGAACGATAAAATGGCAAAACTTTGTAAACGCGTTATAAAAGCGTCACTCGTGCTGCAATTCTTTATAAGCAAAAAAACTCTTATGTGTATGTGTATTATGTGTCATTTATTTATTCGTGGATGTATGCGCGCTTGTGTATACATATGTATACATATGTATACATATATTCCGTTCTACGCTTAATCAAATAAACTTTTCCGATACTACGTTAATCAAGATGAATACGATATTTACATCGAAAATTTATTCTGCTGGTTTGACTTCGTTTTTATAAACAAAAAATGGCGCGATAATTGAAATTAAAAGAACCCTGAAAGAAGTCATAGTACATAAAATGGAAGGGACAGAGAGAGAGAGAGAGAGAGAGAGAAACGATATTGCTAACCGGTTTTCAAGACAACCTTCCATGCTTCCGCCATCGTCCATGCTGTTGTAAATACGTATCTGCGCGATCTTTCGAGCGCGAAAAAACGGAGGGATGAAGGGAATAAGAAGGGCAAGAGAAAAGTATAAACCAAAACCGAATATTGTTACAATCTCTTTGGCAAAAGTAAGTTTTACGTCTACCACGATTACTATAAAAAGACGCTCGAGATTAAGGGATATTAGGCGAACTAGAAAAAAATAAATAAATAAAAAAAAATAAATAAAATAAAGTAAAAATAAAATAAAATAAAAATATGAATATAAATAGAACGGAGTATAGCAGCAACTACTTGAATTTTGTTTGGTTCCTTGTAATATATGCCTACCGACAAAATCCGACGAGAAAATATCTTTTAGCTTGGCTTTCTTCTGTATCTGGTCTTTCTGCGTGTTGTACACTTTGAGGAGCATCGAAAGGGCCGACGACGCACGTTGTGCACGAATGTATCGAGGAAAAGAGAAAGAGAGCGAGAGAGAGAGAGAAAGAGGAGAGGGAAAGGAGGGGGAGAGAGAGAGAGCAAGAGAGAAAGAGAAACAGACAAAAATCGTTTTTCCTAGTTATTAAAAATAAATAAAATACGCCGTTAAACCGTTAAACTAGACAAATCCCGAATAGTATAATTCTTTTACAATATATTCGGTATACTTAAAGAAAAAAAAGAGATCAATATTCATCGCATTTTTTCTCTAACTATATATTTTTCCTTTTTTTTTTTTTTCTTTCTTTACCGAAAATTTCCTACATATGTACGTAAAAGACGTTGTACTAGAAATAGATATGTATGTAGAAGCGAGCGAGCAGCCGCTAAACTGTTGGAATAATCAATCTCGATCTTGTTGGATTAATCGTACGAAAGTAAAATGAAAAATCATAAAAGTGGGACGACGCGTACCGTTCGATCCGTCGCGCTCGCTCGAAAAGAAGTTGTATACACTGGTGTTGCTGCTGCTGCGGAATAATACGCGATACGATATTTTTCTGTTGGATTTAACGCGATTATTTCATACGGATAAAAGCACGCTTCTTGATGAAATCGAAAGCGAAGTTATTGTTAATAATCTTACACTGTGATCTCTCACGAGTGCTCTTTCGTTATCACGTACCTTCTAATAATCTTTGTATGAGGCTGTCGATGTTCAAGTCGACATCCGCCATTTTTTCTCGCCACTGACTAGCGCACTAACGCTCGTGCAATGGTTAGTAGGAGGGACTACTTCGGCACCTGCCTGTTTTACTTGCGCGTTTACAGAAAGAGAGAGAAAACTTATAGACGTATATGTTAAACGTGTTGCATGCTATACTCTTATCGACTGCTGATACAGACATTTTGTTGTTCTTTTTTACTTTTTCTCAATCTTTCTCTGTTACTCGCTTCCTCTTTCTCTATAGTTTCTGATTGGCTCGTCTTACTCATTCTTGCTTATGATTGGCCAATCACTTTCACTTTCATTCTGATTGACTTATTTTTCTCACTCTTACTTCTTATTGGTCAATCACTCTCACTTCTGCTTCTGATTAGCTCGTTTTTCTCATTCTCAATTCTGTTTGGTTCATCTTACTCATTCTTGTTTCTGATTGGTTCGTTACTCTCTTTGTTTTTAATTGGTTAACCACTTTCTTTATCACCTCACTCTTTTCGAACGTAAGCTTATAAACAGAAGACAAGAAGCAATATGTTTGAAATGAAATAAGAGAAATATATCGAATCAAGAAAATGTCAAAGCATATCACACTTCATTTACATAGATTTATTATTTCATTGCTCCTTGTGTTCTTCAGTATTATGTATTTCTTTCTCAAGAATTCTACGTAATTCTTATGAAAACATATTTGCATTTTATCATCACACCATGATGCAACCATGTTTAAATGACATAACACTTAACATCTACATTATTTAGTTCTATTAAAATTGAGAACAGTATGTTTCCGTCACTTTGTTCATATCAATTAATTCATGCATCACTCAGATGATTCAAGAAATGTCTACTATAAAAATTGATTGTAAAATTCACAATGTACATTTTTTTTAACGTGAGCTGTTGCAGTATGACCAATGAATAAAGACAATCTAGAATTATATATTTAATATTATCTTAACCATATTTTCGATGATAATCTGGGGGAGGATCTGTATAATCTTGTTGAAGATTGAATAATTCGACATGATTCTTTTGCAAATACTGTAGAAAATCATGAAAATGTGATAGCAATAATTGTATGCTTCTTTCGTCTAAAGTAGTATAGGATAACATTCCGCCTAGTCTAACTGAAAATAAATGGAGATAAAATTGTAATGTAAATTTTAGTCTTAAAATATCTAGATGTACATAGAAAATATTTAAAATCTTTACCAAATAATCGAAGTAAATGAAATGCACCATACATTTGACTGGGCAAAACATCTGGATTGTCGTTCAGCATCTGTATAAATTGTGGACGTTCCCATTTATATAATAATTGAAGACCTAAAGTAATATTGAAGTAATCCCTAATGCCTTTTGTTATTTCCATAACACTTTCTCTATAATAAGTATTTAGAATTAAAAACATTCTAATAATATGTCCTGTAACATAAATAGTAAAAAGTTATAGCAGCTAACCTGGTAGCTTCAGGTTTTCCAACTGATTTTGATTCTACATAATCATCTAGAATTTTATCAACTGTGTTTTTAACAGGCAAGACTGGTAATTTATGATGTTTTAATATTACTTCCGATTCGTCTATTAGAACAAATTTTAATTCTTCCGGTATCTTAATTTTAACTTCTACTTTTGTAAGATATTCTTCATTTTCACCAGAAGGTTCTACTCGGCTACAATACAGTTAGTTTTTGTAATTGTTATATGATATATTTCCAATAAATGATAAATCTTATCTATGACAAACCTGCGTTTTTTGCGTGGTCCTTCTGTTGTAGTATCATGAGATGATGAAGGTGTAACAATACTACTTGCACTTTTATTAAGACGACTAATAGTTTTATCAACATTTGCTACTGGTGTACTAGCTCTACTATCAGTATCTTTTTCTCTACCAATATCACTTCTTCGTCCTTGAGTTTTAGAACCTGTACTACCTTTCTTAGTTTTCTGTGCACTCTGTTGATTAGAATGTGCTCGTTGTACCTCCCGTTGTCTTTGTACATTAGCTTCATTATATTTCAATACTCGACTTTCTGGCACCCATTCATCCCAACTAATAATTCATAAATATAAATTAAAACTTATAATAATAGTAATAAAAATAATTTTCTGTTATACTTGCTTTTTATTCCAACCAGCATAATGAATAAAATATTTGATTTGTTTCTCCTTTGTGATAGAAAATTTTAAACATTTAGCTTCATAAATCAAGGGTCCATGAAAACATAATACTTTCTCACCTGTTTAACAGAAAATAACAAGACTTTTGTAGAAACCAAACGTAAATGACAATTTAACATAAATAAATTATTATTCTGGTTATGTAATAATAAGAAAATATACCTTCTTGAAATTTACACTTTGGAGGCATCTTAATAGTTTGTTGAATATTAATGTTTCTATCGTTTCTTTACCAATAGAACTAGTCAAATTATCATTCTTCTCACAAACCTTCTGATAAAACACTGTAGATTTTTTGCACAAAAATATATAATGACAATTTTCATTTATTTTTACACATTTATTAATTTATTTTATAAAATTATTTCTATTTTTCACTTTATAGAACATGCAGTTAGCAATCAACGACAAACAAATTTATTTCGTCTAACCAATCACAACACTAGAAATATAAAATATTAGTAGTGTCATATATATATATGTATGGATGTAAGTATATACATATTTCTTTTATTTTTTCATGAGAAATTGCCCAGTGCCCACTTGTATGCTTATTCGGCCGCGCCCTGTATATGATACGATTTATATTAAATTGCTTTTATGAAAACAATTACTATACAATATAATGATAAATCTTACATACAATAATTTTATCAAATAATTATATAAAAAAGACAAATATTCTATTTTGTTCGAGATAATTATAATTAGAGATATGATTTCATATCGATATGAAATAGGTAAACAATAGGTAAGCAGTCGATAATCCGATTGTCGTATATTGTGAACATAGCCTTAAGGTTGTTCATTTTCCCTAGTTTTATAATGAGTTACGCCAACAATGAGAAAAGGCATAATTCTTGACTGATTTTAATAAACAAGATCTCATTTTAAATACGAAGGTTTAATCTAGAATTCCGTTTTATAGAATTGTTGAAAAAGCTTTATTTTCTTTGAAAACAAACGTGCTAAAAAATGATATTTATTCAAGAATAGTTTATATACAAATAAAAAGCTTTTTCAAAAATTCGAGCAAACGAAGTCCTAACCTAAACCTTTGTCTTTAAAATGAAATTTTGACCATCAAAATTGATCAAAAATTATGCCTGTTCCCATTGTTGGCGTAAATGCTGTTTTTGACATTTTTCGCGAAGAAGTTTTGTACTGTGGCGGCTTTAAAAATTTGTGGCGAAAAAGAAAAAGCTCGTTCCTTCACTATTGATTTTCACATTGCATTGAATAAATATATATATTATCCATGATCGTCATCAAGTAGCAATTACCTGCTTGCGTGTGTACATAAATAGCTGATGCTCAGATTTTCAGAATCTCTGGTAAATTAATCTCTCCTATTAGAAAATTCAAATTATGAACGAAACAAAAATTTTCCCGCAAATCGACCATTGTATAAATATTACACGATGCCCGAAGATGGCACGCAAAATCGTGCCACCTCTTGACAAGTTATGTTATCCTATTAGAAATTTCAAATTATGAACAAATCGAAAAGATTTTCTGCAAATCGAGTTTTATATTACGATCATATAATGACAATATATGTGTAAAATATAATATATAACAAAATTTGTTTGAATACCCCTACCGTCATCTAGCGTGGAGATTGGTACTAAATAATTATACCCCTTGTGCCATCTAGTTTGGGAAGCGGTACTAAATAATTATTTTGAAGTCTTTTATATCTTTTGCGCCATCTAGCGTGGGTACCTGTATTAAATAAATATTTTCAGAAATCGTACAATATGTTTGGCACCATCTAGCGTGGGGATCGGTACTAAATAATTATACCCTCGTGCCATCTAGCCTGCGGAGCGGTATTAAATGATTATTTAAGAAATCTTTTATACCCCTGGGGCCATCTAGCGTGGCAGCCTGAATTATATTTTCCCGCTTTTTATACAACGACCTCCAATATTGTCATGTGCTCCTGTTACAAAACGCGCATTTTTGCGACAATATCACGACCGATTATAGACATCCTGGCTATGTAATACGTAGAAAAATACATTATATTCGATAATTATAGAAGTATTTGTTTTACAATATAAACTGTCATAATATATATAAATATTATATATATATATATATATATATATATATATATATATATATATATATATATATATATATATATATATATATATATATAATACAAATATTTAAACAATAGTACGTAGATTCGCTTAAGAAGTAAAAAGATGGTGTAACATGCGAGAAAATTAAAATAATTTTAATTTAAAATTCAAATATTTCAAAATCTTTATCTCGGGGTTATTAGCCTTGTGCAATATAAACATAAACGATCTTTTTATTAACTTCGACAATTATCGAAATAGTTTTCTTTTGCACTTCAACGAGTAAACATCAAAGCTCTCTCAGTATGCCTTTCCTGTAAGTATCAACGAAGAGTTAAAGGAAATATACTCCTATATCATACATTTCTTAAATAATATATAAAATTTATTTTCTTTTAGATTTAAATTTTGAACTGGCGGTCCTTGGCAACATATGACGTCAACAAAATCGAATCTCTGACTTTGACTGTTATTGGATCAATCTTCCTTTGTTTCCGACGAATAATCATCAATATCTTAAGATATCTATGTCATACATTTCTTGAATAATTTATACAATTTCTTATTATAACAGTGATACTAATAATTTTATTGGTATTTTTCTGTTTCAGAACTTCATTGCAATCACGCATAGCATAGAATGAATTAATCGACTGTTTGTATCGCTTAAATAAAAATATTACTAAGTAAAAGTAGTGTTTGTTCATTCGCGTTCGCGATTTAAACAACAAGTGTTCTTGCATCGACTGCGTGCAGTGATTATTCGCAAAGGTGTTTTGCTCTTTTAATAGTATTTATAAAAGATAATAGAGTTTCACGAAATAAATTCAGTGACCGTCCATTAATAAATAACTATCGCGGATTAGAGTCAGTGCATCATTGAAGAGGATCTCATCCAATTTCAATGTCGATCTACATGTCAACCACATGTCAACCACATGCTAGCTACGAATTATCCATCCTCAATTTCGACTTAAATCGTGGACGAGTGTTTTGGAGCCATCGCAGAACTTCTTAAGTAGTGAGTGAATTTTTAAGTTACTCCAATAACTCAATCATGTCGAGAACGAAAGATCCGAATCGGCACAAGTGATTGATTGTAATTAATTAATAAAAGAGCATTTAATGACCACGAATAAATTTCTTTGGAGATTTACTCGTGAATGGTTTCTTATTTTTTGATTTATTTATTAGATCAGAATAAAGTCTTCTTGTTTAAATACGTTTATAATTATTTGAGATTTTGAATATTTTAATACATTTTTAAATATTTTTCTCGCGTGGATATAGTAAAAAATCGATATTCATGAGTTCTAATAAAGAATGAACAAGAAGACAGTGACGATCGATAGTCTTTGGATTACAAGTGAAATTATACATGATTTTCTTATAATAATAAGAATACTGGCTTGTAAGAAAGAGCATGAAAAGATTTGTTTTATATTTTTAAATAACTATTAATTAAATATTTAATCAATTTGAACTGATAAAAGAGAAATCTCAATAGAATTATAGCTTTTGAAAGAGAAAAGTTGAATAGAGTATTTTCTAAAAAAACAAAGAGACTTGTAAAGTCATATTCCGTAGTCCTAAATGATAAGTTAATAAATTTTTAGCTCAGAATTTTCAGCAATTAATATACTAATTTTAATTTCTCCTACGTTGAGAAAAGATATCTCTCAATAAGATAGTAATCAATTTCTATCCAAAAAGATATAGTTTATATTTTTCAGATGCGTTAGGATTGTATTAGGATTTTCTTCAATATTTTAGAATTTGGAATCAAATTTTATTGTTACAGTTTTTGAGTGATAATCGATTAAAATAGGGCACAAAGCAAAGAAGAGGCTATATGCAGAAGAGGCCACCACTAAATGTAGTTCGAGAGGGCAACTATTAGGCCATTGAGTTATTTTCAATGGTTAACTAGAAACTTTCGAGTATCTTTCTTAATCATATTTTAATTTTACGATGTTATCACTCAAAATGCTGTTATAATGATGGATGATGTAGGAGTGTAAATTTAAAAAATTAAGACGACGTAATATTCCAGTTCCAGTTCCGCATTACACGCGTACGCGAATAGAAATATTTTATATTTTATACATTTTTATTATTAAAATCAACACATGAATTTTACACATTTTCTCTTTTCTAAAATTCAATTAAATTCATAATTTTATTCTAATAAAATCTAGTTCTATATTAAAATCATATATCTACGAAACGTATAAAATATGGCAATTATGGAGCCCACTGAAAGTGCATTGAATCAATGTGCACAGAAAGCTGAAGCCAAGATCTCTAGGATTATTTGATATTTTGAATTTTTATTATTAAAATCGAGTTTCATACATTTTTCACTTTTTTTTTTTTCTTAGAGTAAAACTAAAATCATATTTTTATCTTTCATAAGTAGTATATTTCTTATTTCTATTATAATTAAAATCATAGTCACATAACGTGTAAAATATAACAATTATGGGGATGAACTAAATGTGCACTGAATAAAGATGCACATGGAGCTGAAACAACCAGAACAAGCATTTCTTTTTTTTTTTTTTTTTTTTTTTTTTGATCAGATTAAATTAAATTCAGAATTATGTCTTTCATATAAGTAATATACATATTTTTTTTCCTTATTTCTTTTTAGCTAGTTCCATTCAGCTAGATCCTTCGTCGAGTTTGCGATCCACTGATCGCGAACTCAGAAAGGTATAATTAATAAATAAGATTATTTTATTAACATTTGAACAATGCACAATATATGAAAATTGACAGTTTTGAATACACAGCTTTAGATTTTTGTACGGGAGGTCATAAATGGGTTTTCAGATGCAGCAACGTCCACGTGGTGAGATCTAGATCTAGATCTAGATCGATAGCACTTGTGATATATTGAAATTTTATAGAATGCAAGTATTATCGAGCGAATGAGTACACATTTTAATGCTTTTGCAAAATGTTTTTTTTCTAATTCTAACTAATGACATTAATGTATTTCCATTTTACATTGATAATCATACTTCAATAAATAAATGAATCGGATATACTAGAATTCTAAAATAATTTCTTAGAGAAACGTACAGACAAGTTTTCGATCGCACTTATGTTCGCTGTTATTCCTATTTATTCTTATTTACTCTTATTAATTATTATTATATAAATCTCGGGTGGGATCTATGAGTAGAGCCTATAAGTGTGAACCTTTGTGCGGGCTGCTGTCTCAGCATCGTGTAGAACTGATTTCTCCTTCTATTCTTCATCTTCTTCTTTTCCAGGGATCATCGAGGGATCATCGAGGAATAGATTCATCTGCGATTGGATAATTTTGATGTATCGTCGAATGGCTCGATTGATCATCGATTTTTACACAAGGATACGGGAAGGATAAGAGAACACTCTCGCGCCTGTGGGCGAACACAGACGTAGATGTTCGCAGGCGCGATTAAACTTCGTTTCGATTGTTCATGTCACCCGGAGAACGCGGATTAGAGTAGAGTAGAGTCACTATTTTTCTAAAATTCACATGAATATTTGGACTCAATTAAAAATCCTACCATGGACTTTGTTTTATTCGTTCAAAAATTTGATTAGATTACCTCGCGATCGGGGATTTTAGAATAGAGTCAGCGTTATTTTAACACACATGTGAACGTCTTGGATGCGATTAAAAGTTCTACCGAGGATTGCGTTTTTATTGTTCAAAATTCGAAAAGCACGAACGATCGTGTTTAATAATAGGTCATGTTTGAAGCTAAGGGTGTCGGACGGTGGAGCCATTTGTAAGCGGGATCTCATACATCTTCTATTAGTTAAGAAGTCTAAAGCTCCCGAAACAGACAGACATTGCGGATCGGTATAGCGGAACGTGGATTTTAGAGTAGAGTCAGCATTATCCTGTGAGTCTCCATATGCAGCAACTTCCACGTAGTGGGACCTGGATCGATAATATTTGCCATGTATTGAAATCTTATGATAAATACGCAACGCAAGTATTACCAGGCGAATGGCTGCATAATTCAATGTATTTTCAAATTCTCTTCAATTTAATTCTGATTATAATATAAGTATTATAATTATAATATACTAACACTTTACATTGTCAATAATACTTTTACAGATAAATAAATAAGATATAATTAAATTCAAAGATAATTTCTTTAAATTAGCAAATTTATGTACTAATTATTATATATGTTCATTATATTTATTATTTTTTATGCATTTGTCGTGAAACAAATTTATATCAACATCGTATCTAGCACGAATCATTGTAAGATGGACACTACTATAACAAAAAAGATATATATATATATACATGAGAGATTGAAATATTAAATTATAGCTTACTAGACTACTTACTTTACCTATAAAAAACCGATTATTATTTATGCATAAGAGTATATACTACAAGCTTATACACTGATAGGATATGTCCACGATGGGAATAGCGTTCTTCGCTTGCATTTGTAGTTCATATTTTGTCCATATTTGTCGCTAAAGTCACGTACGCTTCGAGAGAAAGATGATGAACAGCCTTAAGGCTGGCATTGGTGTAAAATTTTATATTAAACTAATTTAATTTTATTGGTGTAAAATATTATAAAACCAGGGATGAGTACAGATGTAATTCTCTGATTTTAAAAATGAAGATTCAAGACATGGCTGTTCTAAACTTTTGAAAAAAATCATGTAACAAAATGATTTATGTATAAAAATAAAGCTTTTTATATTATATATATATATGTGTATGTACAATTATCAAAATAGGTATTACAAAAACAATTTTATTTTGGTATCTTTATTTTTATACACTCTTATATATTCTTTTCTAAAATTATACACCAATTACCTTGATCGTAGTAAGTATTCTTGATCAATACGAAAGGAATCTCTGAACATAATTCTGATAATTCTTTTTCTTCAAAAAGATGATAATATCTAAGAAAATTATCACCACTTTTTTTTTTCCAAGGTACAAGCATATCGCTGTGAGTAAATTCTGTACGATTTCTATGTATAGGAAGTAACAAATTTTGATCAGTTATTTGTAATATACATTTATCATTTTCTTTTTCATTTTTCTTATTTGTATTATATTTTAAATAATTAGATTGCTTGGAATTTCTATTTTGATCTTTTGCCCATACGTAGATCAAACATTTACCATATGGTCGAAGTATTCGTACCATTTCAGATATTGCTCTTTTTCTTCTTTCTTGAGTTGACAAATGATGAATAACAGCAATACTTATCACAGAATCTACAGAATTGTCTTTATATGGTAAATTTAAGCAATCAGATAAAAGTACTTCAAAATTTCGTTCTCTACATATTTCTGCTAATTTAAAACTTCGATCACAGCCAATCTATAGAAATGAAATTGACAATAGTATACAAATTTTGCAATAATACAATATCATATATATTCATTCATTTCTTACTTTAAAAATATTTTTATTTGTTTGAAGATATTTGCCATTTCCACAACCAACATCTACTACTAATGCACCATCATTTAAACTGTTTAAAAATTTGATTACATTAGGCCAGCCTTTACTTCGAGTTTCACTAAAATGATCTGAGATTTCATCATATACCTAAAAATATTTATTATATGATTAGAAAATTACAATGAATTACATTAAAAATTTAATCTATTAATAATAAATTATACTTACTTTATGTACATAAGATTGTTCTAATTCTGCTGCTGACTTATTGTCTACAAAAGAAGAAAAGGAGTCCTTCTTTGAATCACAATATTCTATAAACATACAAGAACAAGGACCTGTTCGTATTTTTCGAAATGTGAATGAAGTTCTTACACCTCGCGTTTGTTTCATAACTCCATTAGTAGTTTCAATTAAATCATTATATTTCGAAGAAATTCCATGTGTCCATGCATAACGAGCTTCACCAGTCATAACTAACAATGAACGTTGAGGTAGAACAACATCGACTTTCATATCTCCTTTTTTAAAATTCATAACACACGAAGAACTCAATGATAAAGAAAGTATAGTATCTTCGAAAGGACTATGTGTATCAATGTGTGGAGGTATTCCTTAAAATAAAAAAAAAACAAATATTGTATATATAAAAACAACTCCATCTTTTTTATGATTACCTTGACCAGGTAAATAATGGTTGATAGTAAGTTGATCATAGTCATATGCTCCACATCCATGTTTTTTAAATAAATCTTGTAAAAAATTACATTCTTCTGGAATTGGTATAATTGGTAAATTAGGATCCACTTTATTTGAATGGTATTGAAATTCATATCCAAAGTGTTTTACTTTTCTTTGCTTCAGATCAGATGAAAAAGATCCTATAAGAAAAAACAATATATATTGCGTAAACACTTTAATATTTTATATTAATATTATTACCCATTTCTGTCCAATCAATTATGTTCAATAAGGACTTCTCTTCTTCTTCATTTATAAAATTTTCTATTAGCTTAAGACCAGGTGGTAATACAGAATCACGTACATCCTTATATAAATTTGGTACTATGAAAGACAAAAGACAATACTTAATTTCTTAGACATTGAATATTAATGAAAGTATTATTAAGTAATATACCTGATTCAGTATACGTCAAATACAACGGTGTATTTTGACCATTCAATTTAAAACGTCCATGTATTTTATTGTACAATTCAATAGCATCAGTTTCTAACTGACATTTAATGAAACAATAAGATCGTCCTTGCGGCATGATGAATTCACAATTAGATATTATAGGAGAAACGATATTCTGTAACATCACTTTATCAAAACCAGTTGATAATCCTGCATTGCAAATCAGTATATTCTAAAAAACAAAAAATATAACTTAAGAATCCAAAGAAAGATTACTTTTAATGATAGAATTAACAAAAGAACTAACTTTCGTAGGCTTATCACAACATTTAATATTCATATCCTTAATAAGTCTGTGGTATGCACGCTTTTGTTTTCTCGCGCCCTTTATTATAATTTTAGTTCCCAGTTCCATATTAACTATTTCATCAGTCTTTGCTGTATTATATTAGTATAAATTAAGAGCACATATGGATTCACGTGTTACGGAATCATACGATTCATAACCTATGATGACGATACGAGGAAGAATATTAAAATGGCATGACTCATTTTATTACAAAAGAATACACATTAGAAAATATCTAAGAAACATACGTAAGATTACATTATGACAAAAATAGTGAAGCCGTAACATTTGTATTCATTAATAAGAGTTAAATGATTCGCATAAAATTTGTAATTTTTTAGCAAAAAGAAATTATAAACAGTAAACAAAGAAAGATGAAAAAAAAACTTATTTAATAACCAGTCGCGCTCCTGGCGTCTGCAAATGGCAGCATTTAACAGCCGGCCGGTGAGGGAGTTCCGTTTAAAGGGTAAAATGTGCAGCGCTTTGCGCAGCGCAATTGTATAAGAGTGGTTAAAAGAGCGCGCGTGAAGCTGAATAAAAGAGAGTGGTGTATCAGTCTGCTCTCGGCAGCGCTACTAGGAGGATCGGAGAGATGTCAGTCTAAAAGCGTCTTCTCTTCGATCCAATCGCCACGTTACACAGCACACACTTTTGTGGTAATCTCTTTCATCAGAAAGAAAAAACGCGTTTATTTGTCACTTTTTCTTTTTCTCTCTTTCTCTCTCTTTTTCTTTCTCTCTCTTTCTCTCTCTCTCCCCCTCCCTCCCTCCTTCCCACCCTCTCTTTTTCTTTCTCTTTCTCTTTCTCTTTCTCTTTCTATCTTCATATCTCACGTGTCTTATCATTATAATTAGAACGATCGAAAGAAAAAAAGTGTGTGTCGCTTATCTTTTCTACGGTTTGCGAAAAAACTGGACCGGCCGAACGACCATTTTATGTTCAGTTTGAAGGACGTGATTCCTGAAAGTGCGGATTTCGTAGTAGAAAGACAAATTAATTAATCCTACTTGTCTTTCATCTCATTTACTATCTTCTTTCTTTCTTTCTTTCTTTCTTTCTTTCTTTCCTTCTTTCCTTCCTTTTTCATATATATGTACATGCATATGTACCATCGGTAAATTCGATTTTGGTGAAAAAGAACGGTGTAGGAGTCAGATCGCTCGAGTTACGTGCGCGATTGCGTTGATACGGATGCGCTCGGCTTAGCTTCAAGGTCGTGCCGTTTGTCGTTCCGGCAACGTGCCGGTTAACGCTAAGAACGTGCTAGAGAGGGGAAAGGAGACGAGAAAACGCATCGATCCTTTCTTCCGCATCGAGACATCCCCTTTCGACGTGTTCATTTCTCTCACTCTCTCTCTCTCTCTCTCTCTCGTTCTAGTTCAGCCGGTTGTTAAAAGAGAAGTGGACAAGGGGAAGGTAGCACGCGTCGAATGTTCTTTAATTCTTTTTGGGGAGAGGCGTGCTCTCTTTCATTCAACGGCGACTCTTTTTTTTTCTTTCAAAAGGATGTAACGGAAATTCGCGCGTAAATCAACGGTCAATTCGTTGATATGTTAAAAGTGTAAAATCAAAAAGAACATACTTGAAACGTTAACGTATTTCTTATCGTTTTTCTCATATATATATTACATCTTGGAAGATTAATTATTTTTCATCGAAACGAAGATATAAACGAAGAAGAGGAATAACGTTCGATTGTGATAATCAAAGATTGCAATAAAAATTGTTAATAAGAAATATAATTATATAGACACCGCCGTCACACCGAAAAAGTCCCAATATTCTTCATCTCGTTCCGAACGTCAACGGACATTGCCGAGTGTTTACGAGTATTGGCGAGCGTCTACGAGCGCGCACAGCTGTTTACGTTCGTAATTTTCCAACGCAAAGGAATATCGAGGACGAAGATAAAAAGGACCAAGAAATCAAAAGTGTAACATCGATGTTTGAAACTCCAAGAAAGGATCAAACTCGTGATGGTATTACTTAATCGGCTAAGATTCCTTATTTCTTACGTCTACAACGAAAATCTAATCTAACCTCAATATAATACTCTTGCTAAGAATTCTAAAGGACGATCTCTTTGATTGTTTTCTTACCATATTTTCTACGTTCGACAAAGAGAAATAGGAAAAAAAGAAAGAAAAAGGGAAACGCCTTTTTTTTTAAGTCGGATATGATTACTATTTAATATGAAATACTTTAGATAGATACTACATATACATATTTAACTACTTGTTAGACGCTCCTGTTCGATGGTTCGTGGCGCGTAATTTAAATTCGTGCTCGACAAATTTTTCTCTGTTATACCGACTCTAATCGACGAAAATTACAGTGATATATACACAAATACATACATACATATATATAGTATATATATATGAAATACATGAGATGCCGATAAAACGATTTTAAAGAAGATCGTTATCTCTTTCCACGAATCTTTAAGATTTTTCCTGCTTGTATATACTTACTGTCTTTCTGGACTACTCTAACTTCCATTATTAAGGTGAGTTTTATTATTATTATTATTATGTGTTTCCAATAAAATAGAGCTTTTGAATAATCGTAAAATAACGTCCGAGTTTTGTTTTTCTTTTTTACTGTATCTTAATCGTTCAGTGAATTAATTCGTACATTAATTAGAACAAGGTAAATAAAAAAAAAAGAAAAAGAAAAGAAGAAAATAGAAAGAAAAAAAACAAAAATCGATTAAAGATCACACGTAATCGTTCTCGTATTTCATGATTAATAAAAAAACTTGTCAAACATCCGTGACACGCGATCTATACGAGCGTCTACAACATTTCTCGATATCATATTGATTTCCGATGATCCACTTGGCGCGTGATGTATGATTTTGTAATCTTCACATAAGTATGTACTACTGACTCTATACGTGCACAGCACTCAAAGCGCGATGACTAAACAAATTCTTCGTATGTTAGAGAAGCGAGACTCTCTCCGCAGTACCATACTACATATATCGTAGGAGTCTCTCTCGAGCCAATGTAAGGTATCATGAAAGAAAGCCAAAGTGTTTGTCAGCTTTTTCATTAGCTAAACAAGTACGATGCAAATGGTCTTGGCTGGTAGTAACAGTTCGTTTCGATTAAATGTTTCCATTCGAAAGAAATTAGTTTGTTAAAAGGGAAGGAGTCTATTTTTAAAAAAGATCTTTTTTCAATCAGGATTCTCGATGGAGGATAGCAACGGTCAAAGGAACAAGGATTCGTGCGATGTCAACGATAAGAACAACGCCAATCGTGACAATATGAGCGTAGAATCGGAAGGAATCCTGACGAAAAATTCTTCCGATGAGATATTGCCTAAGAATGTGGACAATTGTAAAGAGAAACGAGTAATGCGTGATGACGAAGAGGACGAAAGTTTAGAAGTCAATTGTAAGGTATCCGACGACGAGGAGACAACGAAAACAACTAAAAAAGACGAGGAATCATCGAGTTCGAGTACCTCGAGTTGTACGTCCGAAGACGAGTCTGAAACTAGTTCGGAGGATAAGACGGAACCTCCGAAAACTGAGCCAAGTAAAAGTCTCGATCAGGAAGCAGCGAAACAGACGGAAACGATGACCAATAAGAATGAGGACACTACCGATGACAGTGACATCGAGGATGATCTCATTTCGGCTATCAATTATAATACTATTACCTCATTGGCTGCCCTCAAGGATATGCTACAATCTTCTGGCGAGGATTCGGATGGAGTTGACAGTTTCTTTCATCATTATTTTCTCTCTCATGTCAATAGGCTACCATCAAGAAATCAAACTCATAGTCCCTATCCTTGGGGTAGAAGATTATCTGAATGTAGAGAGGAAGATGAATATGAAACAGAGGAAGGTAAGAAAGAGAGACTGTTGGTTTCTATTTCCTCATATAATCATCTCTCTATTTCTCTCTCTCTCCCCCTCTCCCTCTTCCCCCCTCTCTCTTGTTGATCAAGAATCATGTCTCATGCTAGCACGTGATTTACAAGTTCTTCACGAGCGCAACACAACATTCTTATTTTCTACGAACTACAACATTATCTCTATACCATCCAATTAAGCTCACTTTTGCTCCTTTAACTCTTTATTCTCGCTATTCGTATCTCTTTTAATCGCGATCTCTCTCTCTCTCTTTCTCTCTCTTTCTCTCTCTCTCTCTGTCTCTCTCTCGCGCGCGCGCAGATTCATAATGATTCAAGTATAGTGCGTGTCAAAACATTCCCTGTAGATATATATTAGCGGGGAAGTCGATTAAACGAGAAAAGCGAGACCAAGACGAAGTTACGAAATTTCAGGTTCGGCCATTAAAGAGAGCTCGCTAGGGAGAGGAGAAAAGTGCTATTACGAGAGAGCTCGTTCGACTACGAGTGCTAAGATTAGCGTTACACCGCTGGTCTTTTAGCTTCGTTTAGTTTCGTTTGGCAACGGCCGTCCTACAAGTGCAAAAAGTCACTCCACTTAGGCAACAACGCTGATCTACTATATTCTACATGTAGATTCTACGTGGTTTATTTATAGAGAATAAAAATTGTAAATCTCTTGCTATACTTCTTATCATCATCGTCTTCATCATACAAAACGAAAAAAAAAACATGACTCACTTTTTTTCAGTATTTAACAAAAATCAATAAATAACATAAAACATAACAAAAAATACATTTAAAATAATATTGTATCGGATGATTTTATAGGTAAAAATGCAGAAACAACTAGCAAGAAAGAAGAAGCGAAAAACGAAGAATCCCAAGAAAATACTCGAGAAGCTAGCATCTCTTCGAAAGGTTCGAGTCCAACATCTTCAGAAAGATCAAGTTCGGAAAGAATTGATCTCAAATCGAATCAATCTTCGAGCATCTCCGAAGCTAAATCCGCATTAACATCCGCTAACACAATGGTGGCGACAACGGTGACTCTGACAACATCATCGATGACATCATCGACAACGACAACGACAACTATAACTATGGCAACGACTACGACGACTACACTGACCACAGCAACTCCAACTTCAACAGCAGTTACAACTTCTAGGTTTACCACGTCGACTGTGACAACAACAGTAACATCACCAACGTCCACAA